TCCTCAAAGGGGGCTATAAAGCGGACAGTATGGGGAAGTATCATAAGTGTTATTAAGGGGGATATGCGTGGTCACTGTTTAGCACAACAAATCAGGCTTTCAGCTGTGGTTCAAGGCGTGGAAGTGTGCAGAATTTTGACTGACGGGTGCCTTTAGGTTTAGGGCTTGCGACGAGGGCTTTTCATGCAGGGCATCAGGGCTACTGGTAAGCGGGCCAGTAAGGGTCTCATGATAAGCAAGGTCCAAAACTTCCAAACGCGTTATATAACCCTAAGCCCTAAGTAGTTTCCATTCCATTTTCCCCTGTCCCTATATAGCCCCTATATAACCCCTATAAAACCCCATCTATTTCTTGTGGGCAGCAATATAACGCTATCAGGCCCCAGCTCTCGAGGAGTGTCCAAGCATTTTCCTGGGCCTGCTTTCCCATGTGAGGCATTTTTGCTACCCTAGAGCTAGTTGTATGCAGGTTAGGGTTTAAGGGTTCAGGGTTTGGTGTCTAAGGTTTAGGGTAGGGTGGATCTAGAGGCATCTGCTGGCTTCAGCTGACCAGGATTTTTTTCAGATTGTGACGCGGCAGTTGTCGGTCCAAGCTGAACTGCAGGCAATCAGTTTAGGGTTTGAGCGAGAACTAGACGCCACAAACACATGGCTCAACAAAAGCAATCCAAAGATGCGCGCTTGACATGTTCGAGATCTAGTAGAGATGCTTACTGTTGACCGACACTTGGGGAGAGCTGCTGGTCTGGAATCCCAGAATTGTAGCCCTGCCCTGGACCCAACAGCCATGCCTTAACCTGGAACCCTGAATTTCAATTTAGGCGCTTTACACGGACTTTAGCCTGCCAAACAAACAGGGAACCATCGTAGAAAAAAAAACGAGCCAAACAAAGTTCAGATGCGATTGTATCGGGCCTTCAGACCGGGCTTTGCGAGGAGCTGAAGCGGAGTTTCGACGGGCGCAGCACTGCGGAAATGTGTCAGCGGCCTCGGTGCTTGAACCGGTAGAGTTTGGGGGTGTCACTTTTCGGATTTAGATCATAAATGCTGCAGTCTAGGTCTAGAGGTTAGCAAACAGGGTTTAGGGTAGGGTTCGGAACGTTGGGAGTTTGGGAGCATTTGCTTCTGGAGCTGTTAACGGGGCAAGTAGACTTTCGCCAGATTCTGTCAGGGGGCCTTCCATGAGAGCATACCTCGACCCCCAGTGCTGTGACAAAGCCCAATTTAGGGCCTTATTCAGTGTTCAAGTACTTTTGTGGCCAACTTAGCCTGTAAAACCCAAATTTGGATGCACACGGCTTACAAGGCTCCACCGAAGTGTCCTGCAGACCCGTTCTGCTTTCACACGCTGCTTTCGGTGCTAGTGGCTGGTAGAGCATGAGGAAGTGCATCAGCTGCAGCAGGAAAAGTCCCAAGACAAGCTTACTCCCTGGCGTATGCCCTACATTGTAAGCTGCCTGGGAATTATGTTCACGTCTTATCACAGTATAACCCTAAGGGATGACTGAACATTTTTCTAGCTACAGTACTCCTTGGGTCTTAGCTTGGACCTTGGATCCTTAACTCTTTGGGATTCGCTTGTACTTCTATTATAGGTCCTTAAGGGTGCCTTTAGTAGGGGTCCTAAGTGCCACGTAGAGTACAAACCTCCCTCTGCCAGCAGGCGCCAGTTTCCAATCTGCCTTCGCGGATGAACTTCAGCGGTTGACCGTCCCGAGCTGTCCTGAGGAAGGCTCTTACCGTATCATATGGTATGCAGTAGGGTTTAGGGTTTAGGCTCTTCATTGGGGATTTGGGTTCAGGGTTTAGACTAAGCCTGGGGCTGTAAGTCTATAGATAGTACAGGCCTTGGGCCCTAAAGTCTACAACTTGATGGAGCCTCAGGGTAACCCAAACCATCCTCGAATTCAAGGTGTAGAAACCCTACTGCATACCATATGGTAGTTTCTCAGAAAGTGGGCACCCCAAAATACTATGGTCATTATAAGGGCCCAAGACAGGTACCCCTGATTTGGGAGACCCCCCATATAGATACTTTGCATCTTGCGGGCATCCTAAACCCTAAACCCAAAACGTTGCAGATTGTCACGCATTCAGTGTCGGTCGAGTGAAGTAGCTTTTGGTAGCCTACTGAGTGACCTGTGCTGACCCCCGGTCCAGAGTACTGGGGACTAGGCCGGACGTTCTTCGCCGTGCCTGCACTGCTGTGCGATGCGCGTGTGTAAACCCTAAACCTAACCCTGAACCCTAAGCCCTAAATTATTCGGGAGGCCCACACTTTTCTGAAAAACGAATTCGTCTCCCACTCTCTTTTTGTGAGAAGGGTTCTTATCTCAGCACGAAGACAACCATGCCGTCAAGGACGTTTTAGGGTTTAGGGTTCAGGGTGAGTTATCTTATTTTGGGATATTATGGTTCCCTATATAAAGTAAGATCCTCCTTTTGGGATATAGTATCTTGTATAAGGAACACAATCATACTGGGTTTAGCCACCAAAAAAACGCTACTCATGTGAGCTGCAGTCTGAACTCCTAGTATCCCCCTGAAATGAGGTCTAAACTCCTGGTATCCCCCTTAATAACCCCCACTATAGGGTTTAGGGTTTAGGGCCTAGACTCCTAGTACTTCCCTTCATAACCCCTAATTATAATGCACCCTTTATAATCCCCATATAACCCCCTTTGAGCAGTTTAGACTATAGCTCGTGTAACCACACTAGTTCGCACTCATCCGTGCGCAGGGGCAATTTTTATTTGGAGGACAATTGAGGTATCCCAATGCAAACGTTTGATTCCTTCTGGTCTGCTGCTTAGATTACCAGGCTTGTTGTGAAGTAGGGTGTTCGGAGTCTTAGTCCAGGCTATGGCGTAGCTTTCCATGAACAATCCCCTACACTATGAGTCTAGTCTTAGGGGGCCCTCAAAACTCATGTTCAGTCCTGGCTCTACCAAACAGAGGCAGGGACTAGAATCTATATACGGTCTCAATGCTGAGGCCAGATGACCGGAGACTTGTGGACTCCAAGACATTCCTGGAAGTCGCAGTCCAAGATTTGGCGCTTTCTTAAGTTAGCTCTTCCATCTATTCGATTATATTATACTATCTACACGAGATGCCATACCCTTAGAGCCTTATTTTGACAAGCCCGCATATTGCAACTTCCCATGGTATACACCGACATCGCTGTACATGAGGGGTGGGGCGGGGGCGGGCGGGGGCGGGCGGGGGCGGGGGCGGGCGCGGGCGAGGGGTAGGGCTGTGGGTTTATAGGGTTTAGGTTGAGGGTGTAGGGTTTAGGGGTTGGGGTTTGCTGCGTCTTCAAGGGTCTTGTTCCTTGACAGCCATGAATGTAGGAATCTTGCAACAGTAGTATAGCAAGCGTTCCAAAGCTTGAGGCTCAGAACCTCGGTACATATCCTGATTCAATTCCCACCTTTTGTAGTATGAGACCTTCAAGCCCTAAACCCTCAACCCTAGATTTAACCCTAAACCCCAAAACCACAAAACACTTGCGGTGAGACGCTCCGAAAGGCCCAACTGGTCAAGCTTCGTGATCTCACGACAGTCGGGAACTCAGCTATGCCCAACTTGGCGGCCAGTAGGGACAAAGGGAAGGTACTCCCTGCATAATTTCTATATGCGTATAATATTCCCTTATTCCCTACCAGCCACCAGCAAGCCAAGTTTAAGGTTTTGCGGCCTTCAGGTAGCAAGTCTGGTTGAGGGGCCAGTACCGGTGAGAGTTCACAGTCCTCTGTGCTTAGCGTCTGCGAATTCGGTCCAACCCACTTTTTGGCTCCTTCACCTGCAGCATCAAGATAAAACCAAGACCAAAAAAGTTTCTAAACCCTAAACCCCCTAAACCCTAATAAACCCCCCTAAACCCTAAGCCCAAGACCCTAAACCCTAAACCTGCGGTCCTCACATGGTGAAGAGGGCGCATTGGCCTCAGTAAACCTTAAACCCTAAGATCTTTCTTCTAAGGTTTAGGGTTTAGGCTTCCTGGAATGTAGCAGGGAGATGATATCAGCTTAGATGTAGGTTATATAGGGAGATTACTCCGACAATGGGGCATTAAATGGCAAAGAGAACGGAAACTGACATGGACATTTTCGGTCCCTTCAAAAGGCGGTTGGGCTAGACAGGTTGAAGTGTTAAGCCACTAGTGCAGAAAATGAAATGGAAAGATCTCCAAATCAAAGACGGAACGCCAAGAGTGTTTTATAGGCTGCCAGTGGGGGGTGACTTGTTGCCTGTTTTCAGAGAACTCTGCGGCACATTGCCTTTGCGCTCCCCTTTACGCCGACGTTGGCTTCCCACCCCTACACCCGAAACCCTAGGCCCTAAACCCCTAAGCCCTCAACCCAAAAACCCTAAGCCCTAAACCCTAACCCCTACCCTATAGACGCTAAACCGACTGCACTGGTGCAGGCTCTCCGCGACGCAAGCGATGAAGCCTGATTGCAGCTGGCAGAATGTAGGGTTCTCTAGGGGTTAGGGAATAATGGGAAACCAAATGCAAACTGGGGTTTGCTAGTACCACTAGGAAGCATGGTCGGCTGCTCACACTAGGCACACAAAGGATTAAACCCTAAACCCTAAACCTAAAGCATATGATCTCAGGTGTTCCTGAGATCTTCCATAAATTGGGATCAAGAAAGGAATTATCTGAGCAGTGTGCGGGGCCTTTCCATGAGTAGGTTTACCTACGAAGAGTGCTGTTTGGGTTTAGGCTGTTGGGTTTACGGTTCTTCGAAAAGGGTTTAGGGCTCTTTGAAAAGGGTTCCATAGGCTGTCATGATAATTGGGAAGGCCCTTGCAAATGCACAGTTCCCATGAATCGTCATTATGGTCTGGCGCATGGATAAACCTGGGAGCCCATGCAGTTATAACCCTAAACCCCTAAACCCTAAACCCTAAACCCTGTCATAATCCCTCCCCAAGTTCTGGGGCCCGAAAGGTCACAAAGTTAACTCATGCAATTAGGAGAAACCCTACCCCTACATGCCCCTGCATCCCCTATGCAACCGCCATCTAGCATTGCTTCCACTTTGATCCTAACCTCCTCATCCGCCGTATAAAGCCCTGTAACCCTACATCCAAAAGTTGAGGCCCAAAAGCATGCTACAGCGATGGCCAGTGCAGCCCAGGCTCTGCATTTTTTCCGGCTTGGGATTTTAGAGTTTGGTGGGAGGGAGGTGGTGCCCGAGTACATTGGGATCTCCAGGGCTTTAGCATCCAGGCTTCCAGAGTTAAAGGCTTTGGGGGGGGGGGTTGGTTATGGTTCTATACCGATGTTTTTTGCGGTTTCCTGGCTTGACGGTTTGGGCGTACGTTGTCGACCTGGACCGGGTCGAGTTCCTGACTTAGGATTTGTTCTGTTTGGCATTCCTTCCTTCACGAATCCCTCACCCAGATTTGTCCTGTGCCCCGGCTTTGTATCTGTTATGTGTGTATATAGGTTAAGGTGAATATTTATGATTGGGGGTGAGGGCTGTCATTTGGTGAGGTGATTTTGTGCAGGTTGAGTGACGGCCCCAAACTCTGGCTGCGAAGCCCTGTACCACCCAGCCACAGGGTCCATGTCCAGGCTGCGCAAACAACTTTGAATCTCTCGTTCCTATTGCCCATTCTGTCCTTGCCCTAAACCCATTCCACCCTCGCCAAAGGCGTTTCATCGCCATCCAAAGCGTGAGAGATCTTAAGTCTATGAGTGAGACCTGCTTCGGGGCCCTTGATACGCGGTCTAGGGTTTAGGGCTTCCGGAGGAATAAACCCTAAACCCTAAGCCCTAAACCCTCAGCCCTAAACCCTAAACCCTAGAACCCCCAAGCTGATGCTAGACGTAAAAGAGTCGATGGGGTTGTAAAAAAAAAACCCTAAACCCTAAGCCCTAAAGTATTGTGGGCTGTTTGGATCCCACGGGTCGGGGCGGTCCTCAAAGAAATAGTCTGATTGCCCCACAGTCTGTACCAACTGCTCAGCTGCACCCACGAGCTATCCTAGATACTACAAGGGGTTCTTTGGGATTATATAACCCTAAACCCCAAGTCCTACACCCTAAAACCCTAAATATAAGGTTATATAGGTTCACGGATACTGGAAATGATGGCGAATCAGATGGAAAGGGCCGGAACCTAGAACGTTGACCCGGTTAAGGGTTTAGGGTTTGGGGTTCAGGAGAAGCTGGAGTTTGTACATGGCGGTTTAGGGTTTAGGGGGTTCAGGTGGATTATGTAGTTATGCCCATCAAGTTCCAGACATTCATGCACCTTGCCCTTTCCCGTCCCTGCAAACCCTCAACCCAGCTTTTCCTGATCTCGGTCCCCCTTCGCTCTGCACTTAGTTCCGGTTATAGCCCTCTTTAAGTAGATAGAATATGGGGTATATGGGGATCTTACGACAATATACCCAAGGCTATACCAGCGAACGAAGAAGGGGATTCTTCTAGCAGCCCCTATGTAATCCAAAGAAGTATATGGTGGTTTCCGTTTTCTTTTCAATTGCTTGATTCCATGTTAATCGAAGATAACTAAATCAATCCGCCCAAAAAGTACATACATGGTAGTTTCCATTGCTCTTCAATTCCTTGATCCCCTGCTGACCACCATAAGTAGCTCAAGCCTCTCCGGGTCTCCCTTCAGCCTGTTGCGAGGCCAAGTTCGCATCCGCCTCAGCTTTGGCTGGGCTTTGGAGGGGTTTGGTTTTGGGTTTAAGGTTCTTGGGATGGGTTCGAGACGGCTTTGGGTGTGGGAATGGGTTTGCTCGATGACAGAAGATTATTGAAACTCATGGAAGTGTACTAGAAGCGCCTATGGCGACCTTGCACGATCCCATGATCCTGGTGATGTCTGGCTCTAGCAAAAAATAGAGACGTCGCCTCGGGTCCTGATGCAGATCCCTGAACTCTATCGACCCCTACATAGGCTGGTTTCCATGTTGCTTTCTAGCTTCTTTTCCACGTAACTGTCCACGAAGTTGTGGACATAGCCATGCAGATGCGTTGCATTTTGGTCCTCTTGCTCGCCTGTTTCAGTGATGTGGATGGTCTTGACTGCTCTAGCATCACAGACTGCGGCACTTGCGCAGGCACCGGGCAAGGAACTGACAAGTGTGGTTGGTGTGGGACATCCTCCAAGGGCAGCTGCATGAACGGTAACACCTTTGGTCCCAAAACGGAAAAGTGTGACCGAAAATGCTGGTTCTCCGGAGTTACATCCGATAAGTGCCCGGGGAAGTGCGAAGGGTCCAGCTGCGGCGAGTGTTTGGCATGAGTCAACTGCGTCTGGTGTGGCGCTAAGCAGACATGTGGTGCCAAAGTAAGTGCTTTTGGTGATATTTGTGTGGGTCAGAAAGCTCAGACCTGCTCGCGCTTTCAATGTACCAAGACTGACGCATCAGAGTACTGCCCAAAAGTCAGTTGCTCATCCTTGACGAAATGTGCTGCTTGTGCGCAAGAGACTGGCTGCGCATGGGATGCAAAGGACTCGAAATGTGTGGAGGTCGAGAAGAGTTTGTTGCCCAACAAGCCTTGCCAGAGCTCAGAGACAAACTCCGGCTGCATTATCTCATCTACTGATAAGTGTCCTTCCACAGCAAGTGGGCTTTGCTCCGAGTACAAAGATGACTTGAAAGCTTGCATCAAGGACACAGCATGCGGCTGGTCTACAGAGCTCTCAGGAGATGTTGTTACTGGTACTTGCATTGAGGCCAACGTTCCTTTCTCTGCATGTCGTGGAGGAGGCGTTTTCTCGTATTTCGATGCTGAGCCACACTGCAATGCCCTCCGAAGTTGCGCCAGCTGCGTTGATGAAAAGCGAGTCAGCTGCACATGGTGTTCAGGAGAACTGCTTGACGACTTTACAGCGCGTGCCTCACGCTGTGTCCTCAGCTATGGTGCTATGGGAGGCACGGGTGATCGATCACGGGCTGCCAACAGTGGACACTCTTGTGCAGCTTTTTCAGACACTGCTGTCAAATGCAAACACTGCAATCAGTTCTCAACCTGTGACACTTGCATTGCTGATCCAGGTTGTGGAGCTTGCCTCGCATCTTCTGATCAAGTCAAATGTGTCGAGGGTGACCGCCATGCTCCATTTGCCTTTTGCCAGGTGCCTGATGCCCCGCCCACTGCATCTATGTTCTGGGCGCACCAGGGCGCGGGGAGCGATGGAGGACCCCAGTGTAAGAACACAGACTATTGTCGCATGGCCACCACGTGTCACGCTTGCCAAGCCCTTGACGTCGTCCAGGGCATGGGCTGCGTGTGGTGCAATAATTCAGTGCCACTGCAGTCCGCGCCGGCCTTGAGTTCCCCATGCACAAGGATGGATCTTTGCCCGGCCCAGTCCAGGCATCCAAATGGCAAGTGTGCCCCAAGCATGCTTGCTCCATTGTGCTCCAGCTTCACCTCTTGCACCGACTGCATCGCTCAGCACACCTGCGCTTGGGCGCACGCAAATGGATGCATCCGCAGCAGCACAGCGTACCCTAGTGGAAGCTTGCCCTATGTCTGGGGAGATGCAGAGAAGTGTCCTGAATTCTGTGGCAGTCACAAGGACAGTACCAGCTGCACCAAGCAAGATGGCTGTGGTTGGTGCAGCGGTGGTTGCTATCCCGGAGACTCCTCAGGACCGGACTATGTTGCTACAGGGAGAAAGTGCACGCCATGGTGCTATGGGACAAAGCCCTGTGACTCAGGTGGCTCCAGTGGAGGCTTTTGGGGATTTCTTGGAGCCATGGTGAAAATCCTGGCAGTGCTTGCTTTGGGAGCAGCAGGTGTGGTCTGCTACCTTCGCAGACGTGAAGTGCGCAGCTTCTTTTCGCGATCTCGCCAGGGCGGATCGAGCAGCAGCGCAGAGATCTCCCTGGGACCTATGTAGACATGGCAGGAATAATTTCTGACAAGCAGAAGACAGCATCTAAGGGCAGGGGGGAAGAAAAAAATGAACGCAGGTTTTTGCATGGCTTGGAAGTTCTGTTCCGGCCACCTTTCCCTATTGAATATGTGTCGAAAAGGTTCGGCAGCGGTTGCATTGTCTCAGTCTTGCCGCCTGCCAAAACCCTAAACCCACAAGATGTGCGGCAACATTCCGTTGCCATCATCTCCCCTTGCAGACTGTTGAAACACACACAGGTAGCAAAGAAACGAAGTAACAGGTGGTTATACATGGTAGTTTCCCTACATGGAGACCCCAATGTAGGTAGAGTTTAGGACTTAGGGATTGGGGGTTTACCTCACCAGCTTTCTGTAAAAAGAGCGTAGCATCCATGAGCTTGTGCTGAAAAAGCCTGGAGTGTGTACCACATCCCAAAAACCTACCAGGGCGCTGGGACCACTACAAGCCATCATTAAGCCCCGATTCCTAAAGGCTGCTAGCAGCGATGGAGAGGACGTTGTCGCCTGGCTGGCTTTATGTTTCTAGCTTCTTCTTGTTTTTGTCTCGTTGTTTCTTTGTGTGGGGGGGGGGGGTGTTCAGGGGTCAGGATTCTGGCTTTGAGGTTTAGGGCCTTATATAGAAATTTGAGTGAATTTTGAGTGCAGAGTTTACGATTTCGCTCTCTATGGTTGTAGTGAAGATGTCTCACATGGTTGTAGTGAAGATGTCTCACATGGGTTAAAGAATCACCCTGCTTTTTGAGAAATTGCGATCGGCCCCAGCTGGACTCTGGGGACTGTTGGTTCTCAGAACATGATAGTAGCTTCCATTTTGTTATCCATTATATCCCAATATAACCCCTTTAGAACTCCAACATTAAGCCTCTATATATATATATATAACCTCTAAAGACGGGGTTGATCACGCAACAGCTAACAGCTCTATACATGTTAGGTGACTCGCAGCAGGGGGCAGGTGCATTTGGCTGTTTAAGACATCGACAGCCTTTCCTTGAAGCGAGTCTCAATCGTAACAACATTTCTTGGTTTCCAATGATGATCCTTCAGAGGAGGCCACAGAATCACGGGGGTAGGATAGCATGGGTTTGTGTGTGAGAGATTTTCGAAAGGGCCTAGGATTGTGTAGCATTTCAGGCTTCATGGTTGTGTTTCGGCCTTCACGGATATGAGGGGGTCCTCAACATTCTGTGGGTGCCCGCGTGCCCAGGATCTGGGGAAACCATGCTGAACCCTAAAGAAGAATTGCGTGTTGGGAAAGCGGAGAACCTGCGCAGTGCTAATCACAAGAAGTTAAGGGGCTCTGGGTTTGGGCCCCAAACCACTAAACCCTGAACTCCAGGAGATAGGAGTTAGGGTTCGGGGTTTTAGGAGCGGGGTTTGGGGTGTAGGGAGGCCAGCCAGGCTTCGCTTGTACTGTTGAAGCCGCACACAATCCGTCCGCAGGCTTGCAAAGGTATGTACCTGTGTTCGGTGCAGGGTTTAGCGCTTGGGGTGTAGGGTTTGGGGGTGCAAAGTTACAAAGGTGTAGCATTGTTCCACCCATGCTGGGCAACATTTCATCTCGAAACATCAGACCTAACACCCTTAACACAGTAAACCGTATTAAAGCTGGTACCTTGCAGTGTTCATCCACGCTTGACAACCGCAAGCCCAATCTAAGCCCCGAGAGGCTTTATGCGAGTTGCCCAATAGAAACCCTTTCAACATGGACCCTACCTCCAGAGTCCAGAGTTCCCCAGCTCTCTAATTCAAAGAGGGGATACCCTTGTCACTAGGGATTTCTGGGGCATTGTGAAGACTATGACTTCGGGCCCGACTTCGAAAAACCAAACAAGGCTGTTTCGAGCGAACCTACCTGAACCCCCAATGTATGTAGAATAATGAGTTTTTTTTGGATGTTTCTAGGGGTTTGGGGCCAGTGTGTTACCTGCGTTCGGGGGTCCGAGTATAAGCCCTACACCCTAAATCTTGAACCTGCTTCTGAGGCCAAGAAGCCTCGAGCAGCCATTGCGGGTGCATTGAAACAGCAGGACGAGGTTTCCTACTGCGGGGTGGATTGGATAATGCCCACACTCAGTAGCAGTTGGATAATAAGAATAGTATGATTCTACATAGCCCTTACCTGGACCCCAAAAGTATTTAAAATAATGGCCTTAATGGCTATCATTATGGGCTTAGGGCTATCATTTTACATACTTTTGGGGTTAGGTACTATAGACTATAGACCGTCACTACAGCTGGGGGCAGTACCCAAGGTGTGGATCCAAGTGCTTTGTGTTTGCTTGTTTTTAACTTCGTTGGATCTATGTACGGTGCTGGGTTAGAGGGCCTGGGGTTGAAGCCTGTTTGTGCGTTGGGAGGTGCTACGGGGCAGGGGGGCCATTTGTGTATGTTATTCAGATTTTGTCCTGAGCCTGTCTTTGCTGTAGTGCGTCGTACGGACAAGTGTTTTCACACATGGAGTCCTGAGGTGAAAGGCAGTTCTGAGGTAGTCGGGTATTTCAACCTCGGTCACCCCACTTGTGTTGAAAAGGCTTCCGTTTTGGGGGCTCAAGCCGCAAGCATAGCCCGAGTTCCAGACCTACCCAAGCCACCTACTGTAAAAATCTAGTTCTGACCCGTTTCAGGCTTGGGTGTGTTTGATTGAAGCACCGATCCTGAGCTGCGTGTGATTGTCACATGACATCTGGGAAGTTCTCCGAGCCCGCTAAAGGTTCCCCAATCTAATACTGGCCTCCTTTGGAGGGGACATTTTTGGGGGTTCCGGAGTCGCGGTAAGTCCGGGTAGCAGTCAGGTTTAACCCCCAACCTTGAGACTTAAGTCTCACTGGTGGAAATCAAATGGAGGTTTACGGTTGAGGACGAGAACATGGAGAATGAATTGTAAACTGGGTGTATATAGAGGTTATAGAGATGATGTTACCTGGGCTTGGCGAAGTGTTAGAGCCCCCCCCAATATAGCTCCCCTCTTTGAGAGGCCCCGAACCATGATTTGGTATACAGGCTTCCCAAAAACCTCAAATCCCAACTCCTAAACCTTAAAGCCTAAACCTAAACCCTGAACCCTAAACCCTCCATCCTAAAGCCTAAGTCCTTCACCCTAAGCCCTGAACCCTAAACCCTATACGTGCCATGTTCTGAGAAGCCCCTCCCATGCAGCCAGGTCTTCAGAGAATCTCCGGCGTTTCACTACGACCTCCTACTTGCTGCTGCCTGGCGTCCAGACTTATGCCATGTCTGTGAGGTTTTAGGGTTTAGGGTTCAGGATTTAGGGTTTAGGGTTCCGGAAGCAGTTTGGACGGGGAGGATGCGATCGGCCTTTGCTGGCGCATTTGTACAAGGAGCTGGTCCTACTTGTTTTGCAGAGCCTCCTATATCATTATGTAGTTCCATCATGGGGAGTATAATTAATATAGACCAAGAAGCTCCTCAATCCTTGAAGCCCTAAACCCTTATAAGCACTAAAGCGCTAGGCCCTAAGCCCTGTACCAACCCCAAAAGGAACTACATAGGAGCTCTTGGTTGAACTGCCAAAAAGCAGTTGTCACCTGGCGCAGGGCTTCGGGTTTAGGGTGTAAAGGTTAGGGTTGAAAGGTTTAGGGTCCAGGGGTTTAGGGTTCAGGGTTTAGGGTTTAGGGTCCAGGGGTTTAGGGGTTATAGGGACCGGAGGACCGCAGGACCTAAGAATCTGTTGTCAGCATGTCATAGGCCTAACCGCGTGCATGTATTGAATGATAGTTTCTCTGGGAAGTTGTCACATATGACTTGGAGAGCTCAAAGTCCTGAACCTTAAGCTCATTTTTTAACCATTAGCGCTAAACTACTGCACTATAATCCCGAATGGTTTACACTCAGGATTCTGCACATTGCATGATGCTGAGGGAGGATTTTCTGGTTTAGGGAGGGTCTCAAAACTCTCAACTGCAAGTTCGTGTTCTTCTATCCGGTCCAAAGGATTCTTCTCCTTGGCGACTTCAGGTTTCAGTGATAGCAACACTCGCGCGAGTTGTGTGTTCAAAGGCAGGAATTCGTTACGAAACTCTTTTTCCTCTTGGCAGAACAGGGTGTTTGGCGAAGTTCCTCCAGCTTTCAAGAACAAGTCAAGCATATGACCTATAGTCTAAACTCCTAGTATCCCCCTAGGTAACCCCTAGAGTATTCCCCTGTATAGTCCCCTATATAACCCCCTTTAAGGAGTTGAGACTAAAGCTCATATGCCTTTTTGAGGTTTTGGTGTATGCGGCCAAACCGGGGCCTTCACCTCCTCTCCATACCTTAAGGGTCCAAGGACCCAAATAATAGGGTCCCTTTAAAGGGGGCCCAAATCCTATAAGATTAATGGTGTTTGGGCGCTAAAACCCTATTATTTGAGTCCTTAGACCCTTAGGGTTAAGAGCCAGACCCTAAACCTTACATCCACAGCTTCACAGGTTGAGCCCCCAAAAGCCTTGACACCCTAAACCCCAAACCCTAACACTAAAGACCCTTAATCCTATTTTTCGTCCTTGAACCCTTACCTAAACCCCAAAAGTACGTAAAATAATGGCCCAAAACACCAAAATGCAGCCCTAAGGGCAATTATTCTACATACTGTTGGGGTTCAGGTAGGAATATAGTCCCCATAAATCCCTATATATGCCCCTATAACCCCTTTAAAGGGAACCTATTATTTGGATCCTTGGACCCTTAGGGATAAATATCCTGCGGGGACTCCATGGGAGGGAACCGCAGTTCTGAGATCCGCCGGTTCAACCTTAGAAGCTGTTTAGGGTTCAGGGTTTAGGGAGGAGGGTTCAGGGTCCAGGGTTTGGGGTTCAGGGTTTAGGGTTTAGGGTTCCGGGTTCAGGGTCCAGGGTTTGGGGTTCAGGGCTTGTGTAGCGCAACATCATCAGGCAGAACGGGAGCTGGACGAGACCGAAGCAATGCAGGACTGCAGGGAGAAGTGCTCCCCGACCCCCAAAAGTTGGCCCGTTGGCTCTTTATGAGCTATGGTAGGGGGGTTATATAGGGGACTACAATAGGGGTTACTAAGGGGGATACTAGGAGTGTAGACTATATTTCTTTATAGGGCTTTTGGACTATTGTTTTAACCTGCTTTGAGTTTTGATCCGAAGCCCTGAAAGCCTTGACCTGGCAGGAGGCGATTTCCTGCTTGGGGGCATTACACCAAAGGCACGGGTTTCTTGTCTCGGTAGCTGAACGGTACGGCGCAACCAGCCTCAAAGTGTGCAGTATGACCTTGTGTGCCACCATGCGATGAGGACCAGCTTGCATAATCAATGACAACTCCTGGGACAGGTAGTGCAAATTAGTTTACTCAGTGCCAGTAACGATCTGGGTCGTTCTCATAATTATGGGGCCCTTTGGGATATAGATTATATTACGGCACTTAATATTTAGGGGTAGACACCAATTTTGGAAGCTACCCAGATGGGAGTTTCTCGAAGCAATTCCTAGATATCCTTACGCATTCTCACTTCAGAGCTACAGAGAAGCCTAAAGGATCATGCGGAAGAAACTTTGCCAAACACAAAGATCTCAGGTTAAAGGGCCTCATACCTTTACCCCCAGACCTTGAGCCTCAAGCAATACTTCCTGGAATGGGTAATTCCCTGCTATCCAGCAGTAAACGCTAAATCCTGAACCAGCCAGGCTTGTGGATGCCCAACAGAAGAAGGTCGCGGTGGAGGCCAGGAGCTTGGTTTGGGGTCTATAGGGACTAGGGTTTAGGGGTGGATGATTTTATGGCTTATGGGTTATATAGGCAAAGCCTCCACTCCGAAAGACTTAAACCCAAAAGCCCTCGCCCAGCAGGCTTCAGATGTCCTAAACTCTAAATCCTACAGCCCTATGACCATGAACCTAAAACCCTAAACCCTACCCTAAGCCCAGATGAGCCCATGCAGTCCTCAAGGTTGACTGTCTCTAAACGTTCTATCCCAGAGGGTCCATGTACCCAATAGTTAGATACTTGGGATTTGGGTAAAAGTATTTATAGTACAGATTTTGGGTAAGTATATGGTTATTAAGTACTTGGACCCTTAGGGTAACCTCAGCCCCTCAAATCCTGAACGTCTCGACCGCACCCTGCCCTGAACTGCAGTGAAAATAGCAACAGGCTTCCTTTTTTAGACGATAGTGTTAGTGAAGGCTTTAGGGTTTAGGGTTTAGGGGCGATACTGTCAGGGAAACCTGCATTTGGGCACGTTTGCACTCACATCTTGGTTTGTCAGCACTATGGGTCGCTTTTTGGTGGCGCGCCCGTTTCTTATTGTGAGTGCCAAGGTGACATACCTGACGGCGGGGGCTAACAATCAGTTTGATTTCCTAACATCACCATTGAGACCCATGCTGCGGCTACGATTCGCGCAATGATGAGCCATCCCCATGATGCCTTGGCCTGCTTGCGGTCGTAGCCTCAAGCCTCGAATCCCAATCCCAAAGCCCTCTTGAACTCCTATCCAGAGCTCGAGCCAAAAGTCGTGAACCCCACGCTTGCAACTCGCAAACCCAAAAACTCCTCAAGCAACAGCTGAGGTTGAGCAGAAGCGGCTGAGCAGCCGGGCCGGTAGCAGTCTCAGTCCTAAATTGAACTGAGGGTTTCACAATCCCTTCTTGTTGGGGAGCGGGGCTAGCGGGAATAAAGCTTCTAATGTTAGCTGGGAATATGGAGGTACCTCAATTTTTGAGGTGTGCCTTTGCCAGAGCAGTGCTTGCAGAGTGCTTCAGAAGGATCTTCCAAGGTCATTGCCAGGTCCAAGCCGCTTTCTGACAGAGTGAATACAATAGGGCCTCAAAGCAGCTCATCAGGCTGCTGTGGCTGCTGAAGAAGATGAGAGCTTGCTTCGGCAGAACATCGCTCCTACAACGCTAATGGCCAGTGTAGAGTGTAGCCTGTCTAATAAATTGCAGCCCCGAACCCTAAACCCTATAAATCGCCTATGTATCCCGCATATATCTCTTATATCCGGGACATTCACAATGATGATTTTTGACTTTCACACACCTGCCCGTCGCGACTGTCAAACCGTCAAGCCTCCATCCCGAAGCCTCAAGCCCCTTCTTTGGAGACCCCAAAGGGCTTTGGGCTTAAGGCTCCGGGATGCCAAAACCCCCAAGGTAGGTGAACTAATGGCCCCAAAATCCCCGAAGAACAGCCCAAAAGGCAGTTAATCTACATACTTTGGGGGTCTCAGTAAGGTGTTTAGGGCTTAGGGTTACCCTGAGCCATGAGATTCCTGATTTAAGGCGCCTCTTGCTATAGGGATCCCAAGAAAAGGTACCCTGAATTTGTGTATTGTCCCATTCTGGTATCCTTAAATAGGAGGTGACGTAATATAATCTAGAGCCAAGAGGGGCCCAGATTTTGTGTGGGAAACCCCTATCTGCAGATGCTGGCGAGCCGTCTGCTTTGGGAAAGCTCTTCGGCAAGCGGGACCCGTCTGGCTTGCGTACGTCTACATTCGACAAAGGGAGATCCGAATCCAAGTTCCTTCCTCAATTCTGAAGGGATCTGTCCAGGAGTCATGGCCAATCATTTCAAGTTGTGGGTTTGGTTCAGGTCCAGTAGTTTCATGCTTGATAGCTGCCCTTGTGCCCTCATACTTTTGGCGCGCGTAAGCAGCCAGATAAGGTTATAGGGCGCCACGTAGTTTGATGTTCTTGCGGCTAGGCCACTTGTGCGAAGTATTCAGGTTCGGAAAATGAGCATTCGGGTATATATATATAACCCCTATATAACCCGTATAGAATGTATGTATACATTTGTGCATGTATACATATACATAATATCAATATATTTCCTGCATAACTCCTCTCTAACCCTTTTATAATCCCTATAGGTCCCGGCCAGGATTGAGGTTGCAAGGTTGTGGTCCTCGACTTTAGAACCTGCCCTCTGTTCCACTGCAGTTCCCCTGTCCTGCTTCGTGGGGGTTTAGGGATTTAGGATTTAGGATTTAGGGATTTGGGGTTTAGGGACTTGGGTTTAGGGTCTAGGGATTTAGGGTTTAGGGTTTAGGGGATTCTAACTGTTCTGCTGCTTGAGTAGTCAGGCATCGTGTCTTTAGGTTGCATGACATGTCCTCTCGGCATGCATTCCTTCATCTCTTCCAGGCCCACTAGTTTCAAAGGAGCAGCCCATTTGTTTCAGAAGGTAGGGTAGCCGCAGATGTTGGAGGGGGGTTTTCACGCCTTAAGAGATGACTGCTGCCAGAGATTTCTTTGCTTTCGACGACGGCTTCTCAGAGCCAGTTGGAGGCATCGCTAACTGCTCCCAAGCGTGGAGTAGTATATATATATATATTATTTCGGGGGTTTTATATGATCCGGTATAAAGTAACAGACTATACTACTTCTGGATATGGGTTTTGCAGGATGAGCATCTTATTCGGTTCAACCACCCAAAAACACTGCTCAGGTGAGATCACCGAGAAACATCTTTCACCCGCAGAAGCTTAGGTCTGAGGCGCAATCCTGCAGCTGGAACATTAGCCCAGACCCCTCAAGCTTTCGGCTCCAAATCGTCAAACCCTAAACGCCGCTCTTTGCGGTTCAGGTTTAGGGTTTAGGGAAAAGGGTGGGCGACGCACAAGAAATCCTTGAACCCCAAAATACGTATCCCGAACCCAAATCCTTAAACTCAATCCGTGATCCCAAGACTGTAGTCCCGTAGAACCGGCCGCCCCCTAACCTGATACCCTAAACCCACAAACCTCTACTTCCCAGCGGTATAGATATAAACCCTATACACCCTAAACCCTAAACTCTGCAAAATTCGGCCGATCTGGAGTCTTCCATTCGCGCGGGCGCAAAAAGGCCGTTGCAAAACGAAAACCTACACCTGCGTTGCAGGACAAGACCACGAAGCTGGAAGACCTCGTGGCGGCCTGAGCTCGGTGGCTACCTAGAAAGCCAGTTACCCATATCCTTGTAACTAGGGTTTAGGGTTTAGGGTTTAGGGTAGAATCCCCATATATAACCCTAGAAAGCCAGTTACTCATAATTATGGGCAACTGTACCCTAATTTCCTGCTACTTTGGGTTACTGTAGCCCATTATTATGGGTAACTAGGCTTTCCAGGTATGCCTCAGTAGATTCGCTGCCGACGGCAGCGGTGTAGGGCTTAGGGCCTTATCGGGGACCAAGAGATTTAAGGTTTTGAGGGTTTAGGAGCTTTAAGCTTTTACAAGAAGGAGTCGTGTGACAGTAGGTTCGGTTCACCACCACCGCAGTCATCGCCTCTTCAATGTTGTTGAGACATGTCCGTCTCTTTCTGCAAGGCACAGTGCCCATATGCTCGGGGAGCTAGACCTAGTGTCTGTCATGATGCTGACTGAGGCAAGCCAACACGCCCAAAGCGTGGAAGACGCGAAGTTCGCCGAAGAATGGTCACTCGGCTCAAGGAAATGTGGACAGCTTGAAGTTTCCAACTCTAAGAGGCTACACTTCCTGTCCTGAATCCGCTACTCTCTGAGCAGGGTTACTACAGCTTGCTGGAGCGTGCAATGTGAGCAAGCTCATTTCGGCGCCTGCATTGCTGCCCGCCCGCAGGTGTTTAGACGAGGCCAAAGATAGAACCCAATGTCACGTTTTGGTGGCATCTAAAAACTCGCCGCAGGCGACCTCTAGTATTCTGCCATGAATGAAAGCAACGACGCGACCAATCAAGTCCAAGCGGCGCTGGAGACAGCAAGCCTGGATTCCGGGGGCCAACATCTCGTGGTGATGATGCTAGGTATCACCGCCTGTACCGCTGCCGTAGGCACAGGCCGGCCAAGAGACCCAAGAGGTCATCGGTGCAGCCACAGGCACGAAAGATGTGGACGTGTCCTTACAGAACTTGGAGGCCGACAGGCTCACAGAACCGAAGCAAGAGAAGCAAACCGTCTCGCACCGGAGGCGTGCTTTCCAAGTCTTGACGGTATTTTCAGCTACGTTCGGGCTGTGCATAGGGGTCACAGTATACTGCTGGAAAGAGGGCTCGCGTGGGAAAGCTACATGCTGCTCCTCAGTTCTGCCTGCGGCTGGATGGTCGTGCAGGCTCTGGTAATTAATGGTGTTAGCCCTGGAGCCTGGTAGGGGATATACGCGTACAGCATTCGGAGAAGCGATGCTCGGCGGCATGTTCCCCTTCATGGCGGACTCCTTCGACATGTTAAAAGACGTGCTCTTCGGAGGCCTCTGCTTCCAGTCCACCAAGACCGGCTTGCACGTGTTGAGTGTTTTCAGTTGGGCCTATTTGTACTTATTTCATTTGTGCCTTCTGTACTCCAGCAGTTCCTTGCTGGACCTGTCCGCCAGCCATGTTTCAGCCTTTGCTCTCTCACAACAAGTGATTTAAATTCTCGTTCCTCGAGAAGGCTGAGCGCGGCAGAGAAGGCGAAGGGACTTCTCGCGAAGCTGTTATCACCACAAAGCGTGCGCTGCTGTTGATCGAGAACGTTCCGCAAGCGGGCAGGGCGATCATTTACCTAGCACTCGAGGAGGGGAGCTTACTTGTAGCGTTGCTCAACCTCGCCATCCCTGCTGCACAGGTGTTGGCTTCCATTTCCTGCGGAGGCCACTGCAAAGGCGGTTGGCCCGTTGGTACACCCAGCATCTAGATGCATCGATAGAAGACTCGGACGCAGTCTGGGCCGTCGAATTTGTGGCGAAATCTGAGATTATCGTTTTGCGCCGCGCGTAGCACGACACAGCCGTTTTTTGGGTGCCATCCTCCAGGCACATGCGCGCGTCCTGTCACAACAAGGACGCATCGTGATGGCAGCAGACACGGACGAGCTGGGGAACCACCTGTGTCTCCAAGGCGTGCGCTCCGGTTGGCGCCTGGATGGTGCAATCCGCATTGACACAAGCTTGTGGGGAGAGGCGGAGGCGTTGATGGCTTTGGTGGATTTTGCTCTCAAGGCTGCATGGGTGGAGGAGCTAGACTTCTCGCACACCGGCCTGACAGCGGAGGACGCTGCGACCCTGACCGCCGCCATGCTCCAAAGCCCTCACCGGCAGCACCTGCAAAAGCTGGATTTTACTGGCAATGATTTCGGAGATGAAGGCGCAGCGGCGTTTGCTAGAGCTCTCCCGCAGCTTCACTTGAATTATCTCTTGATGTGGGACAATGGGATCTCCGATGCAGGAGCACTTGCCATTGCCAAAGCTCTGCTGCAGTGCACGACCTTGCGACATCTTCGCATTTCTGACAGGTCGATCGGAAAGGAGACCCGGCATGCCCTTCGTGAGGTCTGCGCAAAGAAAGACCCCAAAAATCACACTAGTCCTACCTGAGTCCGAGTGATGCAGAAAGCTACCCCCCAAACGAGACGGTCTCTTGCCTGAGTTGTCTCACCTGCACAGCCCCTAGATTCCTGAGCTGGTACCTGCCTGTCTGCTGCATGCAAAACAGGTGCTGCGCACGTGGGCAGCGGGTATTTTGTTTGCAACATCTGTCAGGCTGCTCCAACTGCTGGGATCTTTCGGCGGAAATTGTGCCAAAACGCTACTCATGCCACATCACTTTCCAGGTACGCCTCTGCGCGCATCATCACGATTTCCCGCGAGCTGGATGCGTCACTCGGCCATGCCTTTCACGCGGAAGAATGGTGTCAGATCAGGGCTGAAAGATCAGTAGCATTGAGTCTAGGACTTGTTTACCATTACTATATTCTTCTTTCTATTGTTATTTAATGTATAAGTATCATTACTTTTGCTGTTCTTCTTATGTGATCAAGAGCTCCGTTACTGTGGATTGGGTCCCTCAAGCATGTATCACCTTCACTCGTATCTTTGCAACAATGCTTTAACCGACACGCGAATCTTTACCACACTGCTAAACATGTAGGGGGGGCTCGCAAAAGAACCCCCGCGTAACTCTTGAGCAGGACCCCTGTATACCGGCAATAATCTCCACCATTCATCCTAGGGTTGTAGAATGTTTTTTGGCCAGGTTTGTAGCTGTATCAAGGCCAGCCGCTAGCCTTGTAAACCTGATCATAACTTGGTGCTTCATGAAATTCACTGAAGCCCAAAGCTTCATCCACACCCATGCCCAAAACCCTCTCTACTCCACTACAAAGCTTTATTCCAAGCAATTACGCTCTGATATTTGTGGGTAGGATTAGGGAAAAGGATGATCCCTATGCGGGAACTAGTCCCAGCAAATGCAGCTCAATCCTTCATTCGCTGCTGACCTCGGGCTCCCACGACTGCCCCACTTCGGGAGTTGCGCAGGTTCTGGGCAGAGAAGGCGCGCTCGGCAGTGCCAGGGATGATTCAGGGTGAAAGGTTTCACGGGCGATGGGGGCACAAAAGGATTACAGTATGTTATAGAGACATATACGGGTTATAACCTACATGGACATACTGTAGGGGCATATGGGTTGAGGGATTGGGGTTCAGGAGCTAGGGGTGATTGATGGTGGGAGAGGTGCGCTGGGGGCTTCCTCTTTGCTATAACCTTCAGAAAGAAGATATTTTGCCAACAGTTTTCTGTCAGTGCTATAGGAGGCAGCTACAACTCTGTAGTTGCATCACATGGATTTTCCCAAGGATTGTATACATGATGTTCTGGGAGTTCCTATACGAAACCCAACATCCTGGGCCCTGCGGCTTAGGATTTATGATTCAGGATTTAGGACTGAGGCTAAGCTAAGGTGACCTTAGACCATCAACCGGACATCCTGAGTCCTATGGTTTAGGGTTTTGGATTTAGGACTTAGGGTTAGCTGAGGGGACCCTATAGACTATCACATGAGCGGCAAGGTCCATTGCTGCCAAGAAGAGTCCTCACAGGTTCCGCAAGGAGACCAGCCAGAAACCTTGGCAACCAATAGGCAACTAGGGTTTAGGGTTTAGGAAGCCCGCTTTTTTCAAAAGCGCCATTAGAGTTGCATGTCGTTAGTGGCAACAAGATGCGCAGGCGAATGCGATAAACAAAACGAGCTTGAAACTGACAAGCACTCCAAGCAGGGACCTTCATGTTTGAGAAGTTTCCAGAGATCGCGAAAGGTTGCGTTGAACAATTGGCTGCAGCTCGAGATTGCGTGGCCGACTCAACTAACAGGAGACCGTCTCATCTCATCTTCCATTGGTTCAGGGGCCATCAGGTTGCGGATATTGATTTTGAGGGTTCAGGGTAATAGTTCAGGGTAGAACGGTCATACAGACTTGGAGGTTCATGATACGCGGTCCCTTGCAAGGCAGCGTTGCAAGAAGGCATGCTGCAGTGCAAATTTGTGTTCAGCATTTGTTGCTAACGGAAGGCTTTTGGAACGGTAGGTGTCGCAGGGTCTTGGCAGGGCTTCTGGATTTGAGATCTTAGCTTCGATTCGGGTTTCAGAGGTCAGGATTCCCGCTGAGCTGATGTGACACCAGATGCAGAAAGGGCTCATGGTTTGGAACAGAAGTCTTCGAGTAGAGCCACTCTGCAGTACACGGATGGGAACAAGGTGATCCCCTTCAAAATCTGCTCAGAGAGAGCCCATGACGTCTGTAGACAGCAAGGCCTCACATATTCTGGGGCTCTAAGTCTATAAATGCTACCTACACTGGGCCCAGAAGTCTATAACTTGTACCTGTATACATGGAGCCTGAGGGATACTGTAGCCTACGTAAGAAGTGGGCCACGGACTCTTACCCCTGAGAGAACTCCGGCCTCCTTTTGCCAAGGCGGCGTTTCCGTGCGACGTCACTGCGAGTAGCATCCATATGGGAGCCGCTCTTGATGGACGGATGAGGAATCGGAGCAAAAGAAGTTGCATAGGTCCGTGGTTGGTGTTAAATCCTTCGAGGGTCGGGGTGAGAGGTGCTGGAGTTTCAGCGCAGCTAGACCGACTAGTCAAGAACGAGCACTTAATCCTGACTATGCAAGGTAATCGTATAGTACTCGTTGCAGGAGCTTCTGCATTGCGCGTAGGCCCGCTCCTTCAGAGTACACGGCAGGTAAAAACTACGCTCCACACCCGGTACCCTAAGACAGGCCCCTGCGCCCACATTGTTAGCCCTACAAGCGCTGAACCCCGTAAGCCTGAGACTCCTGACCCACCCTGAACTCTAAACCCCAACCTACAAAGCCCCAAGTCCTATCTCCAGGGCCAAGAAGTGCAGAGGACTGGGAAAGGTTGAATTGAGCTATAAAGTAAACTCCTTACAGGGGGTTGTATAGGGGAGCATTTATAGGGCTACGGAGTGAAGACCCTAAGCACTTAACCCCAGAGCCTTTATTAAGGGGGATACCAGGTAGCAACCCTAAACCCTATAAACCCTAAACCCTAAACTACACTTTGCAGTTTAGACTATAGCTCAATTGTAATTATAGCTCAATTGTGGTCGAGCGGCCTTGGTGTTGTGAGCGTTGTCGGCTTGGAGTTGAACCTTTGCCAGCTGCCTAACAGCAACTCCCAAGCTACATGAGCCATACTCTACGCTCCTTTAACGGGTTATATAAAGGCTTTGTGGGTTATACAGGGTTATATAGGGATATAAAGGATTAAGGGTTTAGGGTTTAGGGTCTAAACTCCTTAAAGGGGGCTATACAGGGGCTTAAAAAGGGGGATTACTACAGGGCTTATTAAGGGGGGATACAAGGAGTTTAGACTATGGCTCAAATGATGCTGGGTTACAGTTTTATAGGGCTGATAGAGGATGAGGTTCCCCGTCCTCATTTGCTTCTGATTGAATGTAGTCTACTTGATAGTAACAGGGTTCTGGGGATTATTCGGTTCACCACACCTGCTTGGTACCACAAAGACTACAGGAACAAATGCTTATAATAATCATTGCATGTAGCCTACTTGATGTCTATAGGTGTATAATACCATAAGAACACAGGAACCCATTTATTCGTATAATTTAGGCTTCTCCATGAGGTGGCCTTTTCTCAATTCCTCAGGCAAGATAATCCTGGACATGGACCACGTCCTGAGGCTCTTCTTTCACTGATTCGGGATCCTCTTTCAAAGGGTCCAGGCTTTCAAACAATAGCATATTAAATAACTAGCTGTTTCCCCAAACCCTAGACTCCATCCTCTTCTCCCTATAGCCCACCCTGATAATCAAGCTGAACTGGAGTAGTATTCCTAGATCTCAACACCCCAAATGGGCTTGGAACCCACCCCCTCCATCATTGCGAAAAACTCCTCTTGGGCAGCACAGACTGATCTCGCTTTGGACTCGCTGGGTTTAGGTGAGGCTGTCTGTACCACTGGTAGCTTCCTCCAACCTCTGCAGGCGCTCTTCTAGGGTCCTGGGGGCTTTCTTTAATCAAAGGATGACGTTCTAGGAAGCCTTATATATAGAACTGGGAATGTCTTCAGCTTCTTGCACGTATGTCTGAAAGACATGGCGCCGAAACACCGCATGGACATTCTTACGGTGCTGCTGCATGCGGCTTTCAAGCTGAGGGTACAAACGCAATATGCTTCGCAGGCATGGGCCCAGATGCAGATCTCCTGGGAGCTTCCGCCCCCCCAGCCCAACACACTTGCAACAGCCTTTCTTCGGAACTTTTGTAGGGCGACCCAAACAGATGGGCCAGGTGGGAATCACTTCAACAGCCTCATCTTTGAGCCTCCAGTTCTTCCCCTACTCCTTCCTGCAATCCCAATTCCATCATCCCCTGACCCTATGCCCCCTTAGCCCCCCCCCCCACCTATAGCAATTCTCCGTGGGGCAACTGCCCCACAACCAGCCACGGATGGCACGCAGCTGCGGCCCAAGAGCCGTGCGCCGCCGAAACCTGTGTTTGGTGAATCGGCGTTTAGAGATTTCTTTTCGGATAGAAGTGATAGGTGTTAGGATTGAGCATCTATACGGGGGTTGAGGAGTGCCGAAATTAGCGTGTAGGGGTATGCTTTTCAGGGCTCAGGCGTTTTAGCGAGTTTAAAGATTGGGCGCCAAGGGTTGGGGTTGAGGGAGAGTCAAATTTCCACGCGGGCCGGACAGACAGGATTCCTACAGTACAAAAGTTTGCGCGGGTCATACCACTGTCCCCTATTCTTGGGCAGATAAGACCTTCTACAGCAGCCGTGAGAAGACTTGCTAAGGACCTTGACGCATCCACGGCAATTCAAACAGCTACGCAGCTTTCATTATCAAGGCCTTGCTGTAAGATGTTTTGACATTATGGGCCACCAGTGATGAAGGGCGTGCATCGAAACCTGATCTCGGTTTTGCATCGAGTGCCGAGGGATAGGTGGTGGTGGCTGCTGAGCCAGGCATGATCCTTGCAAGCTGGCAGTAAGGGTGAGGATGTAGAAGCAAACGGAAAATCACACGGAAAAGTGAACGGA